CGAGGGCAAAGGCAGGACCCACGGAGTTGTGGCCGGGCCGGTGGTGCTGGACATCCCATCTCGCGGATCCCGGCGGGGCCTTGCCGCGACCCCTCGGCTGGGGCCAAGTGACCCCCTGGATGGAGGGTCCGGGACTGGGAGGTTTCTCTGAGCACCGCCCCGCACCCTGCTCTCACCCATTAGGGTGAAGAGACACCTGTGCCCCCGTGCGCTGCGGAGGGGCTGACAGGCGGTGTAGAACCGCAGGCGGTGTCCTGAGTGTTGGGGACAGGATGTGCGCACCCCCAGGCCTGGGGTCTGCTGGTGCAGGGAAGTGTGAGAGCAGGCTGCAGATCTGGAAGCTGGGCTGGGCTCTGACTCGGGGAGTTTCTAGACCTGTGCGCTGAGAGAGAGCTCTCTGGGGCCTGCAGGCCACCCAGGTCCCCCCAACCCCTTTTTCCTTCCCTCTGGCTGCCCATTCGGATCTGCACATTTTGGATCTGACCTCGCCAGCCACTGCTGCTCCTCCCACCAAGCCCAGGCCATTCCCTAGTCCCTGTTGGCTGTCCTGCATACCCAGAGGCCTCCCCCTGCATCTGGACACTGGCCGTATTGCTGCTGCCCATCCCTCCCCACACACCAGTTCAACATCTGCTTAAGGCCCAGCTTGGCCTGCCAATTTCTAGGGTGAGAATGGGGCGTTGGGTTTTAGTGGCCCTGCTGAGGACTCAACCTCTGGACTGTTCAGCCCCTTCGTTTGGGACTTGCACCTGGACCCAGGGGTCTTCTTTAAGACTCCTTCCTAGGCACTGGGCTGAAAGAAGAGAGACTGTGGTTCAGTTTCCCACCCCCTAACGGGGCACCTTGGCAGCCCATTTCTCCCCAACAGGACCCTGTCATGAAGTGGCTTAGGTGGCCACACACACACTTCTCTCTTCACACCAGCCCTCTTAGACATCCCAGGCTCTCTTTTCAGCATCTGCAAGCCATCTCGTAGCTCCTCATAGCTTAGCATCTCATTCTTCTTCTCTGCTCTCTATTCCCTCTACCCACCTCAATTAATAAGTAATTTTCCTCTTTTCTGCAGTCACTTCTGAGGGAAACTAAGGCACAAAGCAGACGTGCTGTGTTACGCACAGTGAACCAAGACTGGAACCAGGTCCTGGACCTGCTGGGACTCCTCCCTTGCCTTTAGTCCCCTGATGCTCCTGGAACCTAGCAGGGCCAAGCTCAGAGCTGCCGCTGGTGTTACATCTGGAACGGTCTGGGGAAGTGTTCTCCTGAGGCCTCTGTGTTTGTTAGCTTGAGCTCATGGGTGGGTGTCTCTTTGGCCACCAGGTCTTAGGCTGGGGTTGTGAGGCTGGGACGTTGCATTTAGGTCTTGCACTGACCCTCCCAAGAATCTAAAATGGTCACTCTGCTTTAATACTGAAGTTCAGTTTCCCCATCAATAAAATGGGGAGAAAATTTCAGGTGCACTTCCCAGAGCACAGAGGAGGAGAGGTTAACTATCAAGAGAGGGATCAGTGTTCAGTGTGAGGGCTATTATGTCCGTCCCCCCCCCCCCCCCCCCCCCCCCCCAAAAACGCCTCTACCTTCAGGGATAACAAACACCAGCTTTCATCCTTGGTGGCTTCTGGGAATGAGAGTTGGAACTTTCCCTTCCTCCGTCCCTTCCTTAATCCTGATAATGGGAGTGAGCTCATGTGTGTTGGGAGAGTGGGGGCCCTCTCTTGGCTGTGGGCATGCTTGCCCAAGGACCCGGGAGGAAAAAGCCTGTGTAACCTCTGCCTCTTTGTCTTCTTTCTCCTGGCCTTTCGTTACGAGCTGGTAATTTAGAAGTTGGCAGGGGCCTGAGAGAAGATGAGCTAGTGTAAGGCCCAGGGTCACACAGTAGGGAATGGCGGGCCGAGTGGAGCTGGAAGCAGTCCTAACCCTGCCGGTGCCCATGCTCCTGGCCTTCTCCCTGGCCTGGCTCAGGTCCTGTCCATGCCTGCCCCTCAGAGCTTGGCCCTGGTCTGCCTTCAGCCAGACTGAGACTGGGGCCTATCATGGGCCTGGGAGCTGGGGGGAGGGCATGTGTCCTCCCTGAGGCTCCAGGACTGCGTTTGTGTGTGTTGGATTTGTTCACTAGATGGGGTACTTCCTCTGGGGCAGGAAGCTTTGATTTCCTGTGGTGGGGGCGTTGGTAGGATTAGGAATGGGGGGCTCAGCTCTGGACCATCCCTGATGTTGTTGTTTGGAACCACAGAGGGGGCAGACTTGTTGCAAAGGCTGTGTCCCCCAACCCAGGGAAGGCAGGATGGAGAGCACTGGTGAGGAGGCCCAGGCCGAGGCCAGAGAAGGAGGCTGTGAGGCTGCTGAGATGAGGGGGGTGGTGGGCAACACAGCAGGAAGCCTGGTCACCAGGTGACCCTGCCGGGTATTGTGTTTCCCTGTGATATTTCCCCCTGTTTCTGTGGTAACCTTCCCTGGGGGACCCAGGCTTTTGGGCTGCAGGAAGGTGCCCCCAGACAGCCCTTTCCTTAGAGGCCTGAGTGTTAGGAGGAGTCCCTAAATCTGGCCACCTCCTTAACCCTTTTGGCTGCTAGGACCAAGGCCTGGGAATCTAGGCAAGTGGGTAGAGCACTGCGGGGTGACTGGGCAGAGGCCCTTTTTTGCATCTTTTTGGAGTGAGGGAAAGGGGGAAGAGAAGGGCTGCTGGACTTTGGGGAGGGCTCTGTGCCTGCACTCACCCCATCTCCTCACTGCCCTCCTTCAGCGTCCCCCCCTACAAGGGGGAGGTGGACAGCATGCTGCCTGGGGCAAGGGATAAGGGTGGAGGTGGCGGAGGTGGGAGGGGTGTTTTCATCAGCGGAGCATAGCTTCTTTGGTCCTGGACCAGTTCCCAGAGGCAAAATATATTCAGGATAGTGACTCTTTAGTGTGGGTCAACATGTGATGGGTGCGTGTGCACACTGGGTGTGTAGTGGGGGCCTGTGTGCCCCAGGCTATGTTTGTAGGTGTGATTCTGTGACAGTTAGTGATCCACGTAGTGGCTTTGTGTTGGGTCTTTTGGGAGTATGTACACGTGTAATACAGATGTATGCCATCTGTATAGTGTATACCTTTGCTGTTTATGGCTCTGTGTGGGGAATATGTTCATGTTTTGGGGAGCTGTATACCTGTGCAGAAATGGCTTTTTAATAGAAGTCCAGATGTTGGCTGGAAAGCACCATCTCATTTGTGGTCCTCAGTCTCAGTTTCTGGACCATTTGTTTGGGAGTCACCTGGGAGTGTATTAAAAAGAAAGATCCCCATCCAGACAGATTCAGAATCTGCAGGGGAAGGGCCTGGGAATCTGGATTTTAGGCAATTCTGGTGCAAAGCCGTGTTTGAGGACAGGAGGACCACCGATGTGGGCCAACCTCTTCATTTTTTTCTTTTGAAGAAACGTTGAGACTTTTAGAAGGTGTGCAGTTTGTCCAGGGACACAGGGGCTATTGAGAGGAAGAACCAAGACAAAACTCAAGCTTATGAAGACTGGTCCAGGGCTTAGCTATGCATCCTCTGTGTATGCAGGTATGCCCCTGTCCACACTCAGCGTGACGGAGGGGGCTAGGTGAGGCTGGTGCACACACTCACTGACCCTTGACCTTTCTCTCGGGGTCCCGGGCTTCCTAATCTTGCTCTCTGGTTACATCCTGCTTCCATCTCCCTGGGGAAATCCTGGAACTATTGAACGTCAATCCTAAAGGTAATGTTGGCAACCAGGAGGCCCTATTTACTGAGCCAGTCATTCAGCTATTCATCCATTCACTGGATTCTTACTGAGCCTTGACATGTGCCAGGCACAGATATGCAGGGAACACATCAGCAGAGCATCAGACCTCAGGGAACTTCCACTCTAGTAGAGGAGACAGACAGAACAAGTAAGCAAGTAAAGAAATGAGTATATACATCTAGTTACACATTGTGATAAGCTCTAAGAAGGAAATGAACTGGGTGCAGTAATAGAGAATAACAAGGTGGGACTTCCTTAGAAAGGGTGGCCAGGGGAGGCCTGCCTGAGAAGGTGACATTGACGCCTTCTCTCACCTCCCCAGACTAGAAGTGAGCCCTCAGAGCCTTCTGAGCATGCCTGGGAACTGCCTGGATCCAGGTGGGGGATCTGAATTGCCAGCCTCTTGCCTGGCATGGGATACAGCAGGGTCTCTGTTCCTCAAGCAGCCCCCAGAGATTGGCCAAGGAGAAGAGGAACAGGGAGAGCTGGACAGGGTCCACCTTGAGGCCGCTCCTTCATAGGCGAATCCAGGCCCTGTGGGCATGCAGGGTCCACCTTGAGGCCACTCCGTGGCTTGGGAGAGCAGCCGCTCCTTCATAGGCGAATCCAGGCCCTGTGGGCATGTTGGATGTTGGGAAGGTAGCAGCCTCTCCAGGAGCTCTCAAGCTCCACCCCATTCCTGACCCTCCTGCCTCACCTTCCTCCCACCTCATTTCCTTCCTCCCCATCTCCCCACCCTGGAACTCCTGTGCCAAGTCCCTCCCCTCTAGGTCTAGCCTGGCTGCCTCTGTGGCCACCGGAATTTATTTACCTGGCTCAGAAATCACTGAGGAGAGAGGGAAGGGGTCCAGGCTGAGAGAGGGCCTAGAGCCCTAGACCCTGGAAAAGAGGACAGAACCCGAAAGAAGGGTTGGGCAGATACTGTCGAGGACGGGGCCAAGAGAGGGCGCGGAAGACACCTTGGCAGGGCGCCGCAGAGCCTCTCTTGGGCCCTTGCAATCTCTCCCCAAACTGGCTGAAACTCTCAGCCCAGGGGGAGTCATCAGCTAGAAGGCAGTGCCCCTCTCGGGCAGGTTAACTTTCACATCGGCCAGCAGCCTTCAGGCCCTTTCACCTCCAACCTCCTCTGGGAGGGCACCCGGGGCTGCAGGCTGCAGAAAGGTGCAGCCCTCTCTAGAGCTGAGAGTTAGAGGAGCCTTCATCTAAGAGAAGAGGCCCGCCTGTCCCCGCCTCGGCTGGCATTCCACCCTGGGCCTCCTTTAGGCTGCTCAGTGCAGAGACCCCCTGGACTCCTGTGCCAGGCTCAGCCCTAGCCACTCCACAACCTCCACGGCAAGGTGGGGAGGGGACTTCTCCTAATGAGGAGGCCCTGGGCTAAACTCACCATCCCCGCCCTGTCTCCAGCCACTTCCTTTTTTCCTTCAGTTACCCGCAGGGATTGGAAACCCTGGCGCTTTGAGACCTTGGGCCTTCAGGGCCCAGCCTGAGCCTTGGAGAGAATGAGGGGTACCCTCTTCCCTTTCAGCAGTCCCGCTCAGCTCACTGCAGAGCCCATTTCAAGGAGCCCAGCTCTGGCTCTGTAGTCACCCCATTCCTCCCTCCCCCAGCTCCCAGGATGGCAGGGAGAAGCAGGGCAGGCTGGGAGCCACAGGGTCGGAAAGAGCCCGGGGTGGGGGAATTTGGGGACTGGGCTGAAACTGGCTTGTTTTGCTTGCCCCACAAACCTTCTTGGGCATCCGCTGCGCCCTCTGGGGCGTTCAGGTTGTGGAACTGCTCTCAGAATGACAGGCCGGTGGCACCCAGTTGGGTCAGGGGGTGGGGGTGGGGTGAAGGCGGGGAGCCCCAGGCAAGGGGGAGCTGGAGGGTTAAAAATAGCAGCAGCCGGGTTTCAGTTAGCAAATGTGGAGGCGGGGAGCTGGAGGCGGGGCGGTGGCAAACAGTGTTTGCCCACAGCGCAGGGCTGTTTCCCCTGGGTCCCAGGAGTGAGTCACCGTGGAGCTGCTGAGGAGGTGCTGCCACCTCGACCCTGGCGCAGGGGTTGAGCGCAGGCTTCATCCCGGGTTCGGGAGGATGTGCAGCTCCCTTCCTGGCCGTCAGGGCTGTCCTGAGAACTGGGCCAGGGGGATTGTGACAATATAGGGGAAGAAGCGTGCCATTCTGAGGCCAAAGACCTGGGTTTGAAACCCAGCCGACTGGCTGAGAGACCTTGGGCAAGGTTGCCAAGGGCTCTAAGTCTTGGTTTCCTCGTCTTTCAAGTGGGGATTTTCTCACATGCATGTGTAAGCACTTGGTGGATTCTACAGCACCCGACAGAAGTTAATTATCACCTTCGGTCTGCTGTGCCCATTGCAGAGCTTGGCGGGAGGGCCTTCCTGTGAGGACACAGGGGGAGGCCTGGACGACCTTTGCAGAGCCCTTTCTCCTGCGAACAGCTAAGTGTAACCTTAGGTACATGGTTCTCTGTGCCTCAAGTTTCTCCATCTGTAACGTGAAAATAACAGTTTCAGCCTCATGGAGTTGCTATAAAGATTAAAGTAAGTAATGTTAACACCGTGCCTGGTATGAAGTCAGTGTACACAGAATATTCGTCATTCTTATTAGTGTTATTTTCATATTTTTGAAGGTCAGGGATAGGGAATGCTGAAGACGCTAAGAACAGAAACTGGGCCCAGCCCCAGTTCACAGAAAAAAATCAGGCCAAATTCACTGTTCCAGATTCCTCCACCCATAAGGGCCTGGAGCAGCAGGCATCTGGAGCCAGAAGTCATAGGGTGGACTCCTCTCTCACTTCACTGCTCCCAGCCTTCCCCAGTGAGGTAGGACGCCGGGGAGCTGAGGGTCTTGAGTCCAGCTGGCATTGGAGAGGGCCTGGGACGGGACCACCCTGATGGCCCCGTGTGGAGCACCTTGCCAGCATCTGCTGGGGTGACCTTTCGCTAAGCCCCTCCCTGGCAGCTCTTAGATGAATATGAGGCAGAGCAGGGATGGGAAGGTCAGTGATGTCAGCAGTGAGTATTCCCAGCACAGCTCCCCTGGAAGAGGCAGAAGGCATTTCTCTCAGTAAATGATCATTATTCAGCCTGCAGGCATTCATCGAGTAAGTCCTGACTGTGTGCCCAGCCCTGTGCTAGGTCCTCTGTGTGATTCAGGAGAGGCAGAGGACGCTGGGTTGTAGATCACTTAGAACCTCAAAAGACTTGAGGTTCAAGAATTCAATACATGGAGTCAATGAAAGCCCAGTGGTCTGGGTCTCTGGGAACCAGAGGTTGGGTCTTGACTCTGCAACCCATTGGCTGTCAGTTGATATTTGTTTGTATGTGTGTGTGTGTGTGTGTGTGTGTGTGGTGTGTGTGTGTGTGTGTGTGTGTGTATTCTGTTTTTATTATTATAGAAGCAGTTTATGTTCATTGCAGGTAATCAGACAACACAGACAAACAAAAATTAAAAACTAAATAAAACCTCCGCAATCCCAGCTGTCAGAGATCCCTGCCAGGATACCTGGGTGTACACCTTCCCATTTCCTGACAGGCCTTTGTACGCCATGCTTTTTACCTAAATGAGATTACATTGTGTGTGCTGTTCCTCCAGGCAGTGCTCTCCACCTTCCACTAAGGTCACTTTTCATTTCATTGAATTCCCAGTTGGCCAGAAATTGTTCACATCTGGTTTGTCCAAATCAGTACCCAGGACCAGGCATCTGGCTATTGCATTCCCTGAAGGCAGTGTAAGCACCCTGGCTGGATTTGTGATCTGGAAAAATCCGGCTCACCAAGTCTTAAGGGCAGCCTTGGCCACAAAAGGGAGTCATGTCACCTGGAGAATCTGCCCTAAACACTGGCCATCTTCCAAAAATAACAGGCAAAATAAGGGAGCTACCGAGGCCTAAGTGGGATGGCAATCTCCAGGGTATTTACTGCCATTAATATTAATGTGGCTTCCCTGTTAATGCCAGCATTCATCAATAGCTTGTTGCTATTCACAGACTCATACCCATGATGCTCCCAGGCCATGGAGCAAGCCAGGATCCCCGCAATGGCCTCTGTCTTCCCCTAAACCAGGTGCAAGGGTGTCAGTGGCCCTTTGGCTGTGTTCTTAGTCCCCAGGAGCCTGCCATGAAGGTGGGTGCTCCCTTCTACACTAGTGGGTGCTCCATCCCTTCTACCAGCCCACGGGTGCTGTGTGTGTGTGTTTGTGTGGCCTGAGAAAGAGAGAGAGAGCGAGAGAGAGAGAATGAACGCGCGGGACAGCATCAGAGAAAGAGAGAGAGAATGAACGCGCGGGACAGCATCTCTTCCCAAGGGAGTTTGCTCACTGTGAAGGGTGACTTGCTGTGGTTATGCAACCTGCATTTCTGTAGGCCCCACAGTTTGCAGAGTGCTTCCACACAGCCTGTGATCCTCCCCTGCAGCCCTGGGAGGTTTGCTTGGTTAGGTATACCCTGCTGGAGGCAGTGCACAGGAAACAAAGTGGTAACATGTACATTGAAAAAGCAGGAAAAATATAGGATGAAAAAGGGAGTGAAGATGGAGTTGGGGAGTGCCTCCTGGAGACCAGAAACATGTGAGGGACACATGCAGAGATTATTCTCTGTTTTCATTTTTGTTGTGGATGTTTTCTGGATGGAAGACCAGCACACTGTGGGAACATGTTGGCACTGGGCATCACCCCCAGGCCTCGGAGGCCGCGCCCCTGCTGTGCCCTGTGGGCCCTCAGTGAGGTGGGTGGAACTAGTTGTGCACACCAGTGTAGTGATGATGAGCTCAGGTTCTGGAGTCCCAGAGCCCTCTTGCCATCTGTGTGATTTCCCTAATTTCCCTGAGCCTCAGCTTCCTTCTTTGTAAAATGAGGGTATAATAGTATCTACCCTAATAGGGTTGTTTTGAGGACCAAACAAGATAGTAAAAGAGAGATGTCTAGTACAGTAACCTGCACACAGTGAACATTTAATACATGGTTGTTGATCATTACTAACATTAATAATTATAATACGATAATTATTAATGTAACTTAAACTTTTCCCTGGCAGTCTCTGGAGTGGCTGAGTGGCCTCTTAGTTGGCATTGGTGAGAGGCGCTGAGGAAGGCCCCTCTCCTGGCTCACGTGCAGCAGGGAGAGGCAGATGGGCGGGCAAGCAGGAGTGGGCTACACACACAGGGAGGCAGGGTCTGTCCTTGGAGGGCCCAGAGCCGAGGGAACAAGGAGGAGGGCAAGTGAATGACTATGAGACCTCTGAGGGGGGAAGGAGAGGCCCTGAGAGGTAGCCCAGGCAGTGACGATGCTTCCTGTTGGGGCAAGCGCTGGCCCTTGAGAAAGATTGTCTAGGACTGTCTGCTAAGAGGGAGTAGCTGGTTTACGTGGAGCACCAGGAGGTGGGAGAGGGGGGAGACAAAAGCAGAAGCTGACAGGACCTCACCTCTTCTCATGTTACAGATGGGGCTCCCATCTTGACTGCTCGGATGTTTTGCTTAAGATAGGAATGATGGTGGTTAGACATTCAGGCGAACTTCCTGTCTTAGGGATTGGAACTACTGGAGCGAGGAGTGAGAGTAAGTGGGAACTTTTACTTCTGAGTGCTTCAGGACCTGCGAAAGTGGGGCAGTCTGGACCAAGGGCTGGGACTAGGGGAGCCTGCCTGCTCAGGAATTCCCTAAGTGGCAGGGCAGGCCTCCCCTGCTGCAAGAAGGCTGTGGTGACAGGAAGTGGATGCTGCCTGCCTGAGCGAGTAGCTCTGCTCTTGCCCTCACGCCTTCACAAAGAGCAGGCTGGGAGGACCGAGTGGTGGGTCCCAGAGGCCCCCGAGGCCGGCAGGGCTTGGAGGAAACCCCATTTTTCTTTGCTAAGGGACTGTGAGGCTCTCCAGAGAGTGCTAGTCCCGAGAACCGATTGCCGCCCACATTCAGCATGCCCAGTTCTCCCTGCCTTAGGGTCCAGGGGTCTCCATCCATGAGAGGCATGGAGTGGAAGAGGACCTGGGGCTGGGCAAGGAGCCAGGGAGGGCGCTTTTCCCACCCCTGGAGAGCTCAAGCTGCCGCTGCCATGGTTACGTCTGCTTCCTGTTTGATTCATCTCAAACAGCAGAAAGAGGGGGGCGAGGCTCCCAGCTTGGCCACCGCTGCGTGGGGCTGTTTACAACAGCCGCTTGCGGGATTCCCAGAAAGAGACTCCAAACCGGACATCCTGCGGCTGCAAAATACCCAGGTGTCAAGAGCTAAAAATAGCTGCCACCCGGCCCCAGCGCGGGGAAAGGGGCAGGCTTGCTGCGAAGGCTGGAGGGCCAGCTTGCGGCTCTCACATCCAGCCTCCTGCTGGCGTGCAGCTGCTGAGCCTGCAGAGCTCCAGTCCCCTCGCCTTAGGCTGACAGGAGGCCTTTGTCGTGGCAGCCCCACGTCCCAGGCAGCTCACCTGGGAGCCCCGCCTCTGCCCCTGTGGGCAGCTGGTCCCTCTGCCTGCACTGTGGACCTTGCTTTGGGATGCTAGTGAGAGAGCCTCGAGGGACCTGGGAGCCTCTAGAGAAGGCATACGGCAGAGCACTCGAGAGCAAGGGAAATGAAGCGGGTGCTCCTCCAAGACCCCCGGACCCGTTGCCAGCCCCACGTGCCCACACGCAGTTTGAAGTCATTGCGTGAATCTGGGAGGCCAACAGTCAGTTGCCATCAAGAAGTGATTCTTCAGGATTGTCTTCGCGGGGCCCAGAACTGAAATAGGCAGCTTCTCCCCTCCAGCCTGCAGCAGGGGTGGGGTTTACTGCTGGTCGGGGTCTCTGGGGGCTGTGCGACTTACCCGGTGCCCAGCTAGGTCCTGCCTTTGCTCTCCCCTTGCTGGCCTGCGGGGAGAAAAAGTGTTGGGGAGAAGCAGTTGGGTGTGTTGGTTGAGAACTTGGATTCTGGAGCCCAATTGCCTGGCTCAAGTCCCAGCTCAGCCACTTCCAAGTTACGTGACTTCAGACAACACTGCTGGGCCTCAGCCTGCTGATCTATGTAATGGCAATAAAAACAGTAACCATCTTGTTGGTTTGTCATGAAGGTTAGATGAAGTAGCACATGTAAGGCACTTAGAGCAACTCCGGGCACACAGTCAAGTGTTAGTTTACAAAAGTTCAGATGGAAGAGCAAGCGATGAGACTGGTTGGGAGAGGCATGGGATACACGATGGGGCTGGGGTCGGCGTCCGGGAGAAAATGGACTGTGGTAGAGGAGAGGAGGATGAAGTGCATGTGCCAGAGAGAGGCTGCAGGCAAGTTCAGGGGTAAGCAGTATTGATCGCAGCCATGAAGGCAGCACCAACCCCATGCTAGGTGGCTCACGCACAGCGTGGTTCATCTCAGATGACTGCTCCCACGCAGATATTCTTATCCGCTCATTACAGGGGCAGCTGAGGCTTGGCCAGGTTACATCGTGTCCCTGGCTCTCCCTGCTGGTCACTGAGGGAGTCAGAGTTTGAAGCCAGGTCCATCTGACTTCAAAGCCAATGTCCTCTACTCTGAGGACCCTCACTTCCATGACTTCATGTGGCAGGAGTTTCCAGGCAGCTTCCAGCTCCCTGGGTTCTGGGTAAATCTGAGCAATAGGCAGCTTCGTGCCAAGAAAATTAGTAAGAGAATTTCTGGAAGGGAGACTCAAGAAATTGTCAAAAGGGGTTGATTCTAGGGAAGTTCAAGGGCGTTGGATGAGCGAGAACTTTGCTTTATACTTCTTGAGGCTCCTTGGAAAGTTGTTAGTATCTACGTAGCATTTTTTTTAATTAAAAAAAAGTGTGCTTTATTTTAAACTCCTTGAAAGTGAGAACCAGATTTCATTTCTATTTCCATCTCTTCAACCCCCAGATGAGTGACCTCACAGGGAGGTCCTTAGTACCTGTGTCTGGGGTTAACTTTCTGGGTTTGATCTGGCCTGGCTGTGCCGCTGACCTGCCAGGTGACCGGGACCCAGCCCTTGCCCTCTGTCTTCCCTCCTCTGTGTTAGCCTGAACAGTCTCTAAAGCCCACTGTTCCTAAAGTTCTCAGACTCTGTGACCTGAGTGCCTTCAAGAAGAGCTTCTCTGAGCTCAGCCCTCGCTGTGTCAGAGAGGTCTGGCAACCATGCTGTTCTTTCTTGTGTTTGTTTATTTTGGGATCTTCCTGAAGCCATTTCACCCCCCAGCTTTCCTCTTCTCTGCCAGCCAAATACGGAGTCAAGCTTTGTCCCGCCTGTGTCGGAGCTGCAGCGTGGGGCGGGCAGGGGTCAGCCCTGACCTGGCATTTGGCCTCCTGCTGCTGCTGCCTGCTCTCCTCTGGCTGTTGGGGTCTGGGCCTCCTTAGCTGGTCAGGAGGCCAGGCATGTGGAACCGCTTAAGAAAGATTTTGGAGGTGATGGGAGGAGGCTTCTGGGTGGCAGTGCTCCTCGGGAAGCCCTCTCCCTGACCAGGGGCCTGCCACCCCTGGGGGAGCAGGTGATCAGGCAGGCTCAGGTTTCTTCGGGGCAGGTAAGGGCCCAAGACAACAAGGTAGGAGGGGAGAGCAGCTCGGGCAGGTGCCCAGGGATAGAAGAGTGGCTTTTGTGTCTGCTTTGGAGGTTGCTGAGGGCCCGGGTGGACCACTGGAGCAGGATTTCTGGGGCTCTTTGGTTCTGGATGAGAGCAGGTGTTCTGGTTTGGGGAGGTGACTCGGTAGGCCCAGTGCCTCGGTGCTGAGTAAACTGCCTCTTCAGCCTGACTACAGCTGCTTCCCAAGATGATAGAAATCGGGGGAGGGGGGGCAGCCAGGATTCCAAAAAGGAGAGGTCCCCACCCTGGCCAGGAGATGTGTGGAGAAGGATCCAGCCCTATGAAGCATTCTCGGTCCCTCAGGTCCATTCACTCCTGATCTTATTACAGTTTCACCCCAAATTAGTGGTAGCAGTGCTCTGAGAGGGGCCAAGGAGAAGAGGGGTCCCCTGCATTATCCCCAAGCCTAGGATGCAGGATGTTCACTTTCTGGTTTCAGTTCAACCACCGACTGTGTCCCTTTTAATACCTTTCCTCCCTCTGGGACACAGGAAAGCTGTTCCCGGGATCTTTTCTCTATTGTTCTGGGCTCTTCTGAACTCAGAAGTTGTCAGCACGGAGCCAGGGATTTAGGGGAGAAGCAGAACTTTTTTCCAGGAATTGCTTTTGGAAGCAGCCCCTGTTGGCAACACACACACACACACACACACACACACACACACACACTCTCTCTCTCTCACACTCACACACACACACTTACATACACACACACACTCACACACATTTTTTCTGAACAGAATGTAGACCATCAATCAGCATCACAGAACATCCCTTTGGGGCCAGGCAGCCACACACTACAGAGTTCAGGGCCATTAGTTTTCCTCCAGAAAGTGCAGGGTGTCCAGAATCCGCAGTTACCAGGGGAGCGAAGCGCAGAGAACCGGGTTCTGTTCCAGAGCGTGAAGGCTGCTGACCAGGCCTCAGGCAGGGACCCATGGAGGTAGGAGAGAATTCCCCAGAGGCAGGGACTCCAGGCCGGACGTGGCCTCTGAGAGTGCAGCCCGGAGCCTGGTTCAGAAACCTGTCTTGGGGGACCAGGTCCTGCAAAAGAGAGAGGTGGTCCTGAGAGAACCTGGGATAGGGGTTACCACGTCCTGGGGTGGAGAGGCCACCTCCCACGTCAGTGTTCCTTGGGGCTCACAGACCTTGAGAAATGTTCATGCCCTGTCCCAGGCAAGGGGCCAGGAGAGAATCATTATGTTCCACTCACCAGTTTCCGCCGTGTGCCCAGCAAGGTGTTAGGTGCAGATGGGCATGGCTTACAGATGACACCCAGGGACCCTAATTAGTGGAGTGTCCAGGTGGTGGACACAGCATGGCTGCTCTGGGAAGCCAGGGGAGGTCAGGATGAGCTTCAGGAGGACATGGGCGTGGACTGGACTTCAAAAGATGGGCAGAGTTTGAGTAGGTGGAGTGGTATTTCCCTCCCAAATAGTGTCATTCAAAGCTCGGGGCCCTGGTGATGGAAGCCAGTTGTTGGGAGTCTCTCTGTGCCTGGAGTTGCCCCCTCCCCCAGCGCCTGCCTGCAGGGAGTTCTCCTTTTCAGCTTTGGAAGAGGAACTGTGGCTGCCCCTTAGACACAGCCCAGAGAGCAGCACTCACCAGTTGTCCTCCAGAAAAGATTCCTTGTGCCAAAGGAGGGCTTCTGTGTGTCCACCAGACGCCCCCTCCCAGCTTTCCAATCTCCTGGCCTCCTGTCTCCTCGACCCTGAGCTGGGGCAGCAGGAGGGAAAGTGTCCACTTTGGACAGGTGGCCTCTGGACTCACCTTGTCTTCCCCCACCCCATCCAGTCTCTATACTCCTCAGGGCCTCTCTGCTGCTCACAGCTCTGGCCCTGCCGTGGTGTTTCATGGGTTCTGAATGGGAGGGGTCTGAGCTGGGCTTAGGAGGCTGTGACAGGTGGCCATTTCCAGAAGGAACCACTTCTGTTACAACTTATTCAAGAAAAAGGCTGAGCAGTTCTTTCTCTGGGCGGGGGGCCGGGGGCCGGGGGGCTGGCTGAAGGACACAGGCTGGAGCAGTAGGAGGAAAGGGGTACCTACTATGGGGTCCTTAGGCTGCGCATTCCAGACCTATCACTTTACAGCTCCCACCAGGCCTGACTTGACCTCCAGGCCATGACCTAGTCCCTCCCCCACTGTGAAGCCTCTGAGTGGGCTCAGGTCCCCTTTTCCAAGCCTCCTCCTCCTCCTCCTCCCTCTTGGCATCTTCAACAGGTCTCACCAGCCCTGCTGTCCCACTCCGGCCCCACCTCACCTCCCAGCCCCTTCTTTCCCTTGGGGCTACGGGAGCCTGGGCCCAGGGAAGATTGTATCTGAGCACATTGGGAGGGCTGAGGGCATTGTTGGGTGAACGGGCCTCCCTGGGTTCCTGCTGTGGACTGAGCTCCCGCAGGGTGAGCTATCTGAGTCGCTTAGGAGATTGGATGAGGAAGAGGGAGCTGAGGATCGCTGTCATCCGGCATGGGGATTTGAGGAAAGGAATGGGATGGAGTCTTCTCTTTTTGGTGAGCTTCTGTTGGAGGTGCCAGGTTTTGGAGGGCTCAAGCCAGGGGCCTGCCTGGCTTGGACATGTTCCCTCCCTCTTCCTTGCCCCCTTCCTGCAGCCCCTTCACTCCATCTCTCTTCTTTCTACAGATGGGACCCAGGTGACCCCGGGTGCCCACTGCCCCAGTCCCCCTGGCACAGGTAAGCATCCTGAGGGAGACTGGGTGGGAAGTGGGAGCTGAGGGTGGAAAGGACATGAGGAGGGCGAGTAGCTGAGCAGTGGTTGGGCAGGGGAGCTGGCTGATCTGCCAGAGAGTCAGATGGTTGGGGTTCTGGGGGAGGGGGTGAATTGGGGTTGCATGGGAAAAGGGTGAGGAGTGGAGATAAAGAGGCCACTCTGGATCCAGGCCAGCCCCAGTGCTAGGAAGCACGACAGGAAGAGGAAAGGCAGGATGCGGTGAAACAGGAAGGCAAGTGGGAAGCTCATATTTATACTCAGGCCCCTGCCTCCCGTCGGGCTCATGTTCTCAGTTGTTGGCTCGTTCTGTCCTCACGCCAGCTCTGCAAGGGCATGGCAGCTCTTGCAGGATGGAGGATGCCTTGTGCTGCTCAGGTAGGAGGGGAGGGACCCCTCTTCCTGGCTCTCTCATCTCCCTTGCCTCCTATTACGTGTAGGCTGTGCTGAGCAAGGAGGGGAGTGGACTTCCTGCTGGTGCTCTGGTTAGGACATGCCTGTGGGCTGGGCCTGGGCTGGGGCTGGATGAGGCTCCCTTACTTCAGCCAGTATCCACTGAGGACCTACTACCTACATACCTGATGCTGAATATTACACATGGCAGGGAGAAATGAGGGCCAGGTGTCCTCTTTGCATCCGTCCTGGCTGTCCAAAAGCTTACAGGGAGGCTGGGGAGATAGGACACAAAGAAAGAAAAGTAATAGCAAACTGCAGTATGTGACTAGTGCCAAATGAGGGGACGTCTGGTTAATGTGTTGATCCATTTATTCAAGAAACATTAAATTCACCATGTATTATTATTTAGTCTTCATAGATGTGTAATTTTCTAAAAATTAAATATAGAAATTAGAAAAAGAAAAATTAACCCCATCTCTGTGCCAGGGGCACCTTCCTATGCATTTTTTTGGGGGGGATACAAAGATTTATTTATTGATTCAACCAGTGTTTATTGGGTGCCTATCATGTCCTGGGCACTGTTCTAGGTTCTGGGATAGGGAGCAATAAGCAAAACCAAGCCCCTGACATTGCGGCTTCCCTCAGGGGCACAGAACTGTCAATGTCACTGAAATCCATGTGGCACCGGCTGGGTCCAAGGTTCTGGGATAGGGAGCAATAAGCAAAACCAAGTCCCTGACATTGGGGCTTCCCTCAGACCACGCAGTGCTTGTGGGGCACAGAACTGTCAATGTCACTGAAATCCATGTGGCACCGGGCTGGGTCCAGGGAAGAGAAGAGGGAAGATTCTAGCTGGGCTTGGAAGGGTGGGACCTAGAAAAGTAGAATTAAAGGGTGAGGACAGCACCAGGAGGGGGACATTGTAAGCAAAACTCAGAGGACAAAAGGTACATGGGCTTGTGACAGGATGGGAGCCGATGGCTGAGATGGAGGATTTATGTTCAGATGTAGGAGAAAAGATGAAAAAAGCAGGGTTAGCACCAGACGGTTCAGACCTGCACATGCTGAATCCCCCTGCAAGCCGTTCCCAGGGTTTTAGGCAGAGCCATTTCCAGAAGACTTCTGCTCTGGACCCTGGAGGTGCTGGGAGTGAGGGATGGGCTGCCCATGGTCCGTGTGTGGCTGAAGCCACAGCTGCAAGCCCTCTTGCATCATCAGGCAAGTCACCCCAGAAAGCCAGGACACCAGATGAGGAAGGACGGAGACCCTTCCTGGGACAGGAGTGTGTTGGCATTGGAGGCCCATACTCAACCAGAATGCCCGGGTTCCCTGGATGGATGCATGAACAAGGGGTCCGGGAATCACAGCTGTGCATTGCCAGTTACGGGCTGCATCTGGGTGCACAGCCATCCTTTCTGGTCTTCTGACACCTGCTCTGCCCCTCTCTCTGCCTTTTCGTGGTGAGAGAATGTGCCCCTTAGCCTCAGCCTCCTGTCGGCCCCTCCTCTGTGCCCAGTACGGGTTCCCTGGATGGATACATGAACAAGGGGTCCGGGAGTTGAAGCTGTGCATTGCCAGTTACGCGCTGCATCTGGGTGCACAGCCATCCCTTCTGGTCTTCTGACACCTGCTCTGCCCCTCTCTGCCTTTTCGTGGTGAGAGAATGTTAGAGCAGGTGCCCCTAAGCCTCAGCCTCCTGTCGGCCCCTCCTCTGTGCCCAGTGAGAAACACCCGCCAGGGGCGGCAACTTGCTGAGAGTCACTGGGGGAACGGAGCTGGAACACTGGCCTCGCAGGACCGGAACCCATGCTCCCAGTCTGCTCGGAGCTGGGTGGCCTTTAGCTGAGCCTCAGTTTCCTTATTTGGGGTAAGAGAAGAGTAACAACCACCTCCCAGGGCCTATGGTGGTGATGAGGTGAGAAGGTTTTGCAGCCACATGTACACATGTGCTACAGAGGCTAGGACAGTGACTAGTAATGGTTGAGCTGGGCCTGGAGGCCGTGTTTCCCGACTCCCCGGCTGGTGCTTTGCCACAGTGCCTTCAGCCCCCCACAGCCTCAGGCCCCAGGGACAGCCTGGGGCTGCCCTGATGGGGGTGGCTCAGCACTGGAGGAGCCGAAGCAGGCCTCTTCAGAAAGGTTTCAGCGCTGTGTGCTCTGAGGGCACCTGCTCCCACCCTGACCTGCCTCCACTTCTCCGGGAGCATCCCCGGCTGCTCAGCCCAACCTGGCTCAGCTGGCTGTGCTGGTGGAGAACCTGGTCCGGCAGCTAGTTATAAATAGCCCCTGCACCCACAGGCTTGGCAGGGTGCTCCTGGCGTGGGTGCAGAGGACACTCGAGAAGAGGCACCTGAGTCGTGTCCTCACCACTGCAGGCCCAGAGCTGGCGGGAGGGCACCCTAGAGCAGGCTCCAGGGGCACATGGGCTGTGCAGCCCTTGGGTGGTGGCCAGGGCTTGGCTGCAGGTTTGAGGCACCGCTTCTTTTTTTTTAAATCCTCACCTGAAGACATTTTCTCCATTGATTTCTAGAGAGAGCAGAAGGGAGGAGGGAGAGAGAGAGAAGAGAGGAAAAACATCTATGCGAGAGAGACACAGTGATTGGCTGCCTCATACATGGGCCTTTACCGGGGCTGGGAAACTTGCAACCAAGGTACATGCCCTTAACTGGAATCGAACCCGTGATCCTTTCCTTCAGTCCTCAGGCCAATACTCTAACCATTGAGCAAACTGGCCAGGGCGAGGCATCACTTCTTTATCCTATGGCCTGCGGTTGAGTAGGGAGGGTGGTGACTGAGAGGGCCTTTGAGGCCCTTTGGGGTTGGAGGCCGAATAAGGGGGGCGGGTCGTTGTGCACCTGTCTGATCTCTGTCTTTGAGCACAGCTCATTGGGGGCAACTGGGTCAAATCCTCATTCCAGGTGGGCAGAAGGGAAGGAGAGAGCAAGGCCCAGAATGTACCACCAAAGGGCTCTCAGCTGTTTCTAGGTCCCCACAACCCCAGCCTCGGCCTTTTAGTGGAAAAGCAGAGGCTCAATTCGAACCCCACAAGCGATAGTCTAACCATGGACAGTTGAGATCACCTCCTTACTCATAGGTGACATGGAGTTGAAAATACCTACCTTCTAGGACAGTAATGGCAAACCTTTTGAGCTCGGCGTGTCAGCATTTTGAAAAACCCTAACTTAACTCTATATGTGCCATGTCACATATAAAAATTTTTTGATATTTACAACCATAGTAAAACAAAGACTTATATTTTTGATATTTATTTTATATATTTAAATGCCATTTAACAAAGAAAAATCAACCAAAAAAATGAGTTCGCGTGTGTCATAGGTTCGCCATCACTGCTCTAGGACCGTGGTGAGGATGGAGTGAGGAAAAGGCCCTTAGAGCATGTTTTGTTATTTTGAGTTAAGTGAGCCTGAAGGAGGCCATGAGGCTGTAACCTGCCCCTGCATACAGACTTTTCAGCTGACTCTGCTTCCTTTCTGTGTGTCCTCAGGTTGCCCCAGGCCCCACGCAGACACGCCAGGCCCTCAGCCCCAGCCTATGGACCTGCGGGTGGGCCAGCGGCCCCCGGTGGAGCCCCCACTGGAGCCCGCGCTGCTGGCCCTGCAGCACCCCCAGCACCTGCACCACCACCTCTTCCTGGCAGGCCTGCAGCAGCATCGCTCGGTGGAGCCCATGAGGGTAAAGATAGGAGCTCAGCCCCCAAACCCCCTCTCTCCCTTCAGCCTCCCCCCAGACCCTGTCTCAGTCCTTAACTCCTTGCCCCTTCCTGGGCGGCCAGCCCTGCCCACAGCTCTCCATGGACACGCCAATGCCTGAGTTGCCAGTGGGGCAGCAGGAGCAAGAGCTGCGGCAGCTTCTCAATAAGGACAAGAGCAAGCGAAGTAAGGATGGAGGCCTCCCGCCTGTGTCCATGGCCCACCCACCTGGGCACAGAAGGGCTGGGGTGGTAGTGACGCCAGCTCAGGTCGCCCTCTGCTTGCTGGGCTCTGTCTGTGAATGTAGGTGGGGTAGAAATGGGGGTGGTGTCTGAGGTGGGGCCTCGGGCTTGGCTCTTGCCTGAGAAATCCTGGGACACCTCGTACTATACTAGGGGTGTGGAAAGGCAATGGGCAGAAAATGTGCAGGCAGGCCACCTGTCCACCCACTCCAGCCCCACTCATGGTTCCACCCCACCCCCCGCAGGCGCTGTGGCCAGCAGTGTAGTCAAGCAGAAGTTGGCAGAGGTGATTCTGAAGAAACAGCAGGCAGCCTTAGAGAGGACAGTCCATCCCAGTAGCCCCAGCATTCCCTACAGGTAACGCTCTCTCCCACCTGTTCCTTCCTGTCCCTGCCATGCCCTCTCCTCCCTATAAGTCCACCTGTGAGCACTCATTTACCCTCTCCCAGCTGCTTACCACCTGATCCTTATGCCTCACCTCCCTTAGTAATACCTCCCCAGTCCCCTCTCCCAACTGACACCTGCCCTCCTCTCTTCTTTAGTTACCTCCCCACCCCCCACCTGAGGCTTCCATCTTTGTGCACACACCCACCCACACTGGCTTTCTTCTTCCACACAAGTCCCTTCTCGTTTCTGTGTCTCCCCTAAGCACAAAAGCACCCTGGTTCCTAGAGCAGGTTCCTCTCAGGGGAGACGGTCCCCAATGTGTCTGGGACCCTGGCTGCTGGTAGGGTGGGTGGCCTGATGCTGCCACCTGGAGATGGCCCCTGTTCCTGCCAGTCCCACCCTGCCCCCCCTGCCGGCTGCCACCTCCCCTGGCCGGTCCGGTGGCCATGCTGAGGAATGAGGTTGCGGCCAGGCCTCTGGGCACCCCCATCCCTCTGAAGCAGCCTTGGCACTCACCCCACAGGACTCTCGAGCCCTTGGAGACGGAAGGAGCCACCCGCTCCATGCTCAGCAGCTTCCTGCCTCCTGTTCCCAGCCTGCCCAGTGACCCCCCAGAACACCACCCTCTGCGTAAGACAGGTGAGTGGGACAGGCAGGCGGGGACCCTTCACGAGTTAGGGGGAGGGCCTTGAACTGGGATGACTGGGAGGGAGGGCTCATGGACAGAGGGGAGGAGGGTGGGTGTGGGGCCAAGTAATACTGGTGCTCCCATAGTCTCTGAGCCCAACCTGAAGCTGCGCTACAAGCCCAAGAAGTCCCTGGAGCGGAGGAAGAACCCGCTGCTCAGAAAGGAGAGCGCCCCTCCCAGCCTCCGGCGGCGGCCTGCCGAGACCCTCGGAGGTGAGGGCCAGCAGCGGGGCACGGGCGCAGGCAGGGGTGACTGATCTTGTCCTTTTGGGTGAGGTCCCACCGAGATGGGTCCCCTCCTCAGGGTTCCCGTGGGTGCTGGTACAGGGTGTGCCCTACACACTTGCCAGGGGTGAGTTGGGGCTGAAAGCCAGCCTCTGCTCTGTTGGCTAAGCTGCCCAGAAGAATTGCCTTAAAAAGTGTGCAAAGGCCCGGGAGACTAGTGGTGGCCTGCCCTCTTCCTGCCCTTCTGGGAGGAAAGCAGGAAGCAGAGGCGGCCCTCTTGGCTACTGGCTACTGCCTGGCCTCTGACTGTGCCCCCCTCT